TTGTATGTCATTTTTTTGTAATAGTATTTCATAGCCTCCATACTAATAATAGAAAAAGCACATGACACTTGAGAGATGATAGCTAGAATTCACAGAAAGTCAGTCCTGAGTCTATGGCCAACAGTCTAATGGATCATGAATCCTAACCAGTCTACATACCAGAGTGACAAGTGAAACATTATCAATTTGGAAATTTTTGTTCAGTAGATCTGATAGTACAGCTGAGTTTGATCATTTCTCTTGGTGATTTTGACATGTACCTGTAGTTAAGGACTACTATTTCAGTTTTTCTTTTGATGAAAAGTTTGCTGAGTTTAGGTTGTTGACAAAGACTTATGCTAAGAAAGGGGACAAATACAAAACTAAAATTAATCTAAAAAAAGTCTTTTCTCAGTAATCTGTGGCTAAACTGTCTATTTCTTATTTGTGACTTCCACTAGATCAGAGCTTAAATTTGTAAGCTTTTTAACTTTGCTTGACCCTGTGACAGTAAAAAAATTAGGAAATAGAAACTTAGTTGGCACTGAGATGAAATATGAATAAAGAAAAGGAACACACATATTTATTTTAAGTTAAATATGTTTATGGTACATAAACACATAGGGATAAGTAAATACTAAACATTTAATCTCTGATATCTTTTGTTGACTTCTCCAAATCTCTCACTAGTCATTTCACCCTTCTGTACCCTGCTCTCTGGTCAAGGAGGCCCACCTGAAAGGACTATGATAGTCCCCATAGTCTCTAATCAACGGATGGCCCTGGTAGAACACATAAGAAAGGCGAATGAATTTGGTGTGTTTGCTACTGGATCATTCCTGGCAAAGTTATCTTCAGCCGACTGTGCCCTTTGATCAAACATCACTGATTCTCTCTGAACTGCAAACACTTTATAGCATTCTTTGCTTTCAGGTTCGATGCTTACTACCTTCCTTCCTCCCTTGAGGAATAACAACTCTGCAGCAAATAGCCTTCAGTTTACTGAACAAGACGTTGTGACTTTGTCTTACAGCTGTGTACACTATATGTACTTTGTATATCGATCCTAGTAAATAAGCCCTCCTGAAATTTTCTTATTTTGAGCATGCTATCTGTTTTACTGTCCACTAGGATCCTGAATGATACAGTCATTTATGTTTAAGATACCTTTGAAAATTTTGATTAATACAAAGCGAGTGCAATGTGTAGAAGCCTGAGTTGTATTCTGTAACAAAAGCTCCAATACTTTTTTTTTTTTTTTTTTTTTTTTGGTGTACCAAAGACAGTACAACTAAACAGCTGAGAAAGAGTTTGGTAAAACTGAAATAGTAGTGGATATGAGAAAATGGTCTGCAGTCTAATCTATGCTATAGAAAAGAAGCAAGACAATGTGAATTTTAACTGACTACAAGCACCAAGTCACAAGAATAGTAGCATTCAAATGCTCCAGAGACACTCAATCTGTTACACTGCATTCATCTGGGGGCAGCTCATTAACAGAATAATACAAGCAAGCTGGAAGGAGTTCATAGAGGAGTAACAAAATGATAAAACGAGGATTGACATGTGAGAAGAGATTAAAAAGATGAAATCACTCTGCTTTAGCTAAGTGGTGACTAAGGAGGAGCATGTCAACCATCTACAATTATGTGAAGGTTATAAACTCCAAAAGAAAGGCAGTGATTACTACAAATCAAGGGAGTAGTGCTCTGTGTAAAGAAACAAATTAAGAAGGGAAAATTTTAGCTCCAATAACAGGACCATTTTCTAATGTAGAGCTATTTTATGCTTATAAATCTGTGTTACATAACTAGCTTTTTTAAAAAGACAAAAATGAAGCATTGCATCTTAACTATATTGGTGGAGTATCTATAGTTCACCCATCTCTCTCATCTACTTATCTATTATATATCTATCTATGTATCGTATAGTCTTTCGAAAACTTATGTACAGGTAAAAATGACTGATTTTATTATTACAGGTTTTCTGCTTGAAATTTAGTGAACAACTTGTTTAATTGTTAACATTACATTTAAACAACTAAGAAAGTCTAGCATCAGAACAGTGTTCTGAAAGTCAACCAACAAGAAAGTACAGAGCTGGGGTGTAAACCCAGGTTCTTTATTCTCTATGTCTATGTTAGTAACCCTTGGTTAGTTAAATAATTTTAATATATTACTATACCTATACATTTTCTTTTTTCTTTATTAATTTAATGCTGGTTTACAACATTGTATATGACTTAGAGGTATAGATTCATACTTCTTCAGATGTATGTTTTCCCACCACACCTACCATCAAAGCACCCACAATCCTCCACCACAGTCCATTGGGTCTATCCCTCCAAGACTTTAGACCTCCATTCCCCCCCACCCCCGCCATTTTCCCCCTAGCCTCAATTATACAATGAGATTACTAGGGTTGATTTTAGTTTAGTTTTATCTGTTCCTTTGTTTTGTTGCTCCATTGTCCACAAATTAGTGAAATCATCTGTTATTTGTCCTTCTGACTTATTTTACTTAGCATAATCCCCTCCAGTTCCATCCATGGTGTCCCAAATGCAAGATTCCATTTTTTAAATAGTATTATAGTATTCCATTGTGCATACATGCCATATCATTTTTTCTATTATTTATTTGGACTGATGGATTATTTTAATAAGTTCATGACGTACTTTGCTATGAATTTTCTTGAATAATTTCAATTTCTTGAGCACCTAATAATACATTTTAGATATTACTTATTGCTCAATGTTACAAAGTTTGCTAGGGATAGTCATTTCCATAGTCATTTCCTCACCCTTGAACAATCTGTATGTTCACTCATTCTAGTTATATGGATGAGGCAAAGTCTAAAACATTTCCATGTGCTAAATACTACTCATTTCTCATTTTGAAAAATACGTAATTTCTCAATCCACTATTTTTTTAAGGATTTAAAAAAAAATTCCTTTATTTTTCCATAGAACTGGGTGTAGGCCGGAGGTGCAAGGGGTAAGAGGATTCACCACAGACAGAGTGAGGGGCAGAACAGGCACTGAGAAACAGTGCTAAGGGGAGCAGCATCAGGAGAGACAGGAGAGGTCTGCTGCACCATATGTGGGTTATCTCTCTGGCCAGGGATTGAAATCAGGCCAGAGTGGTGATAGTGCTGAGACTTATCCCCTAGACCACCAGGGAGGCCCACTATTTTATACAATTGAAATTATCCAATAATTTATAACATTTATGAAGGTGTCATTTTAAGGATATGCTATTAGGATCTCTTTTTTAAAAAATTAATGGGGCCTCCCTGGTGGCACAAGGGGTTAAGACGCAGCACTATGAAGCTATCTGCAGCCACTGCAGCACGAGTTCAATCCCTGGCCAGGGAGGTGACCCACATGGCACAGCAAACCTCTCCTGTATTGCCCACTGCTCCCCTCAGCAGTGTACTTCAGTAGCTCTGCCTGTTCTGCTCCCTACTCTGTCTGTAGTGAATCCTCTCATCCCTTGCATCTCTGGCCTGCACCCCAGCTCTTGAATGCATAAATAAATAAATCTTCAAAAAAATAATTAGCTACCTCTCACATTAAATTTGAGTTTAATATATTTTGAAGTTAATAAAAAAAAAAAACTACTCTAGCTCTTGGCCAACAGTTCAAACAATATGGGACACAATAAAGTGAAATGAATGAGTCCCTTTTCCTTTCAATCCTCAACTTTTGGGGTCAGAGATAACCACTCTAACAGCTTCTTTTTTCTTTCCAGGAATTTTCAATGCATATGTCTGTGCACACTTCCTTTTTTTTACTTATCCATTTGTTGTGGTTATCTTTCCATATCAATACCTGAATTTTTCTTTTTTAATGATTACAAAACTTTCTATTTTATGGGTATAACATTATCCAGAGAATGATGGGCATTTAGATAGTTCCTGGAGCTTTTAAAATAAGCAATTTTTCTATGCCCATATACCTAGATTTATCTTTTATAAATATTCCTATAGGGCAAATTTCTAACAGGATCATTTATGGGTCAAAGCTTATGTATAAAATTTTTATAGGTTTTTACCCAATTACTATACCCAAAATGGGTTTTACATTAACACAAAAAATATGAATCTAAACAGGGTGTGCATACTTTAATATTCCCATCAAACTCTAATATATCATGATATTACCTTCTGTTTTTTGGCATAAAATGGCAATTTTCCAAAAAATGAACATTTCATGTAAATCTTTTACTGCTGAACCAGGCTTACCTTTGCCAACTTAGATTTTGAAGTAAGTAACACATTTCTTGTATATATTTTACCAAGGCTTAATTAAAAGAAACTTGCTTAAATCTTAAAATAGCTGTTCTGACTAATTCTTCATTCTAATTCTTGGCTTAGACTAAGTGGTCCTCACTGCCACTTGCATGTGTGTATCCTACTTACTTTTCAGGGTTTATTTCAAAAGCCATTGCTTCCATCTAATTAATATTTTCTTCCTCAGAGCCCCCAGTGCAGATATTTAACCTTTTTATAATACACATTTTACAGTATAAGTAAGTAGCTATCATTGTTATGAGGCACTGAGTCTTTCAAGCTTTATAAATGTTTTTAATCCTCTCTTTCTGCTGTTACCTGGTCCAGTGGATTGATTAGCTCAACTACATACCTAGTATTGTGATTCCACTTTCATTTTCTTTTAAAATAAATATATCAGGTTTTTATTTTTAATATCACCTGGTAAAGCAATAATTTTATTCTAAAATTTCACATTTTCTGACACAGAAAAATGATGATTTTAAAACATTTCTTTGGAACTCAGCTCATAAACATATGCCACTTAAAAAACTCAGATTTAAATATGAAACATACTGGTGAGAGTGACATGAATACTATCATATTAAAGGCCTCTGGAGGCAAGCGAGCATAGTTTACACGCTATTGAAACTATTTATAGAGCTGACTCCTTTCACAATGTCAACGGTAACATTATACTTATTTTAAGCTTCAGCATCTCAAATATCAGTCTCTACTAGTTGTACAGTTCTCCCTTATTTGATATCAGAGAGCCCAATGGAGCCTTCTGAAGAACCTAGTCAGATCAGCAAAGATAAATTTTTAGAAGTTCCTAATTTATCTAATTCTCTTTCTGAAAATGAAGAAGTTAAAGCTACCTTCAAACCTGGTTTTTTCCCTCAGCCTAATAGAAGAGGTTCTGATACTTTCGAAGATATGTACCTGGATACTCCATCATCAGGTACAAGAAGAGTTTCTTTTGCTGACACCTTTGGATTCAATCTTGTGTCTGTCAAAGAATTTGATACCTGGGAATTACCAAGTGTTTCAACCAATTTTGACTTAAGGAAGGACATTTTCAACACAGAAGAATACGTTTTATCTCCACTCTTTGACTTGCCTTCTTCAAAAGAAGATCTTATGCAACAACTTCAAGTACAGAAAGCGATATTGGAGGCAACTGAATACTTTCCTGGGTCTACAAGTATGAAGGGCATTATTCGAGTTTTAAATATTTCTTTTGAGAAGTTAGTATATGTGAGAATGTCCTTAGATGACTGGCAGACACATTATGACATTTTAGCAGAATATGTTCCAAATTCATGTGATGGTGAAACTGACCAGTTCTCCTTTAATATTACATTAATTCCTCCTTATCAAAAAGATGGAAATAAAGTTGAATTTTGTATACGTTATGAAACTTCTGTTGGTACATTTTGGTCAAATAATAAAGGCACAAATTATGTATTGGTTTGTCAAAAGAAGGATCAAGAGCCGAAGCCTATAAAACCACTGGAAGGAGTTCCTAATAGACAAATAAAAGGCTGCTTAAAGGTAAAATCAAGGTGAGGACATATCTTATACTTTTCTTAATCTTCATAATCTTAAAGTTTTTTGAATGTCATGCTTTATTTCATATGTTGTAAGAAATAACCATTCTATTTAAAAATCTACTGCTTGTTATGCATAAAGTTATCGTGCTAGGTTTTAACAAGGTCAAATCTGTTCAAACAATAGCACTGCGTCATCTCTTCTCCAAATATGAGGAAAACTACTGGTATAATGTAATATTAATAAATGGAGGGAGGGAACACGATATGCATATTACTTGCCTAATGATTTATAAATTGTTTAAGAATCCAGATTCTTAACATATGACCAAATGTAACATGGAACACAAAGTAGTATAATTTAGTAAAAGTAAATGGAGCAGAATTTTAAAAATGACCCAAATAGAAATAAGAATATTAGCTTTATAGGTTAGAGATTTTGGATGTGAGTGCTCAGTAACCTTGCTTTCTTGTTAGAAAAGTGGGATTTAGCTCTCCATTTGTAGAGTTGGCTAATTTCTATGATACTATTTTAATAAAAAAAAAATCCAGGAGAAGACCCCTCCTGCTCCTCAGAGTGCCCTAATGGGAAAGCCCAGCATTGCTCTACAAGCCACAGACAAATGTTTGATTATTCAGAGTGAATTCTTCTTAACTACCAGTAAGTCCCAACATTCTGGAAATTGAACTAGAAATAATGTAATACAATGAAAAGGGATTCACCCACAGAATTAAAAAAAAAAAAAACAGATTCTAAGAAAAATTTAATAAAAATGTAAGGAATAACACTGGGAAATGTTAACCTCTTTATGCTTTAAGGCCTTGATCTCTTAAATGGCAACGCATATTAACTACTAAGTGTGCTGTTCTAATGTATTGATGAACTGGCATAGGTGGAAGCAATTTAATAATATACTTTTATTTTCATTATCCTTTAAAGTAATTTGAAAGACTTGCTAAGTCTGTGAATTATGTCAAATTTCTAACAAATCAAACTTTCTCAGATTTTACTGAGGCTATTAAAAGAATTAATATAACCATAAGTTGATATTTCTTAGAACAATAACTTTGACCTATATAAAATCACTCAGCAGCTTATTAGTTAAGAGACAAAATAAGTTCAACACTATTTGACAAACCAATTTACATATGCAATCATATTTATAATAAATACAAATAAGATCATCATATGCTGCAACTTGGTGTATATGTAAGAGAAAGCAAATTTACAAAAGATGTAATGTTATTGTAAATGAGCTAATAAAAATCTTTAAATCAGTTGTGTCTGTAAGTTAAGGCTGAAAGCTTTACTTATAAATCATTCATGCAAATTATGGTATAGATGAGGATTCTTTTGCAAAGATCCAACTTGACTTAATACCAAGATGAAAATAGACACCTGATAGGCTTAATCTTCTACACCAGTCATGCTATTATTGGAACTTCTAGTCTAAGATATGTGTAACTATATATATCTCCATATCTCCAGACATACATTTGTATTCAGAACAGTAATCATTGGATTCATAGCGGACACCATTCAAGTTTTAATATTGCTTTGGGGAAAAACCTGAGAAGAACTAAACCACAGAATGGTCTAAAGGCCTGTAAAGTTTCCTAATGAGTTATAAAAATGGAAAAAATCTCTCTCCTTCAAAACCACAAATACATTTTCTGCACTTCTATAACTTAAAAATGACCAACATAATTCAAACCACATTTTGAAAAAAAGTATTTGCCTCTGGAGGAGGCCTTTTGTGCTGAATTTCAGTCCAACATGAATTTTTACATCTGATTTATATACCACTCAAAATGGAGTGTATAAAGGAAATCCTGACAGATCCTTAGAACAGCATGTGCAATAACAGAATATTTATACAGCTTTTCCATGATATAATTTATATGCGATGGGGTTTCAAATATTTCTAAAACTCACAGAAGAGAGCATTATCAAATTTCTAAATGAATATTACAGTTGGATTTCATTGTGAAAAATTTGGTTTAAGAAAAATAGCACACTTATTAGCTTTATTTTATAAAATGTATACTTGGCTAAAATAAAAATGAGCTAATATTTATTTTATCAAAAAAAATTGCTTCTAAAATATCCTCCTCCCTCCAAAAAATTAATTACAGGATCCAAATGGATCTTTTTTGAGCACTTCCAAACATCCTATGCTGCAAGATTTGGAAGTAACCTCTTTCAGAAGATAATTACAGAATAGAGATATATATGAATTTTTGCTTGGTACACACGAGTAGACTAATATTAGTGTGGAATATGTCAGAGTTAAAATGAAAATAAGGTTGTCCTAATGTAAAGAGTATCCCCTTTTTGAATTCCTCTTAAAACCAAAGATAATTTCTTATCAGGTCCCAGAGACTATAGCTTCTGAAAGTGTCAATGATCCCTCTAACAACTATAGAATGAACTATTGGAACATATTTATTGAGGTAGTATTTCAGTCATGTCGATCATTCCAAATACTATGTTTTCTCTATGGATATGTTTTCAGATCAGTATTTGCAAATATGTGGTTGTCTATTTTCTTTTACTCTTGTTATTCTATCCATTTTGGACAGAAATATCTACTTATATAGGAAAACAGTTTGTAACTCATGACTAAGTGTGACTTAGAGTGACCCAAAGGTATTTTATTGCACTGACAGTCATGCTTCATGAGATAGTTAAGCATCACCATATGTATGGCACTTGGAAATATGATGAGAATCAAGCTGAGCAGATTTCTGTTCTACATACCAGGAACATTATTTCAAAATAAATGACCAAAAGATACAAACGGTATCAACATAAATTACATTAAATGTACACAGATAAAGAAGCTAAAATTGCATGCAGAATCAGTATAACCACAAAGTTAAAATTAAGGCTTTAGAGTTAAACTTTTCTGGTTTTGAGTCCAAGCTCTACCACTTACAACTATGTGACCTCAGACATTACATTTGTTTTCCTCATCTGTTACTTGGTAATAACAGTATTATCTCATAGGATTGCTTGAGATTTCCATGAGAAAATACACATGAACTTTTGGCACAATGTCTGCCATATTGAGTTTATCAGTAAATGTTAACTGCTATAAAAAGAAAAAGCTAACTTTACCTATAGCTCTGCCTGAAAAATCCTACAAAGGCTCAACCCACCAAAAAATCCCTCTCCTCTTTCCTGTCAAGATTCCCAAATACTCATTTTTGGAGAGCCACCTTTTTGTTGCAGGATTGTAATCAACAAACAAAACCAACTGAATTGTAAATTTTCTGGAGCTCATATATCTGAAACATTTAAAGCTGGAAGAGATCTTCGTGACTTAAAATTTCCATATATAATTGATGAAAAGTAGAAGACCAAATTGGAAAGGGTAAAAAAGCAGTAATTTTGGTGTTGAACAGAAATATTTATTGATGCCAATAAAATATATCTTTACTAGCTATGTGCCTATTGACACATTACTCAACTCTTAAAGGCATCTGTTTGCTGATCTGTAAAATAGGAGAAAATATGCCTAAAATGTGATGATTAAATTCAAGTTAAATGAGATGATAACTTTAAAATTTCTACTGGGTTGTTGCCCACATACAATGTAGTGCTCAAAAGTCAACTATTGTTGCCATCATTATTATCAAATATTCTTTAACTAATTTCCTGATCCTTGGACCTGCATTATTTCTCCAAACATAGGTTTGTTTGTTCACATTCCAAAACTCATTCAACAAGTGTTTAGAGAGGTCCTATGTGTCAGGTACTGTTCTGTTGGTAGGAATCAGTACCCAACTGAGAAATATGGCTGGGAATATGAACCTATGAAGACAAGGAGAGGTTCCAAAGATTTCCCAGGGGCTGAGAGCCAAAAAGGAGAGAGAGCATCAAGACCATGCTCAGGCTCTTTGGGAATGAATAAAATATAATGTAACAAAAATTTACATTATACTTAGGCTTTCTAGAATACGTGATCTACAAATGATCTGGTTAGGGGTGTGAACTTTTCAGCATCTTTATTTTTTCCTTACCAGCTGTTAAATGTATGTTCACAACTGTTGGATACACAGACAGACTTCATCTGGTTTTATATTTTATTAAGTGAAATCATTTTATTATTTTAAGTGAAGAAATGGCATAACATAGGTGTTGGATGGTATTTATAGCTTGGCCAGGTGAATGCAAATAAATTCCTGAAAGATTTTAACACCAAAGGAGGAAATTGATTGGTCTTCAATTTTGGTAACTGAAGAATAGAAACAGGCACATTCAAGAAAGAGAAATAGTTCCTAAAGCATGATTTTAAGAAAACAAGAATTTATCTTTCAGGGTGGTAAAATCATTAAAATGTGGCCAATAAAAACATTGGAAAATGGGGCATAAGATATGGTCATGTTGCATGTTCCCGTCAGAGCCATTGGGCTGTGAGACTTCCTTAATTTACACTCACAATATAATCTGGGATCCTGGAAATAATCCAAAGAGGTGAAAATAGTCCCGTGAGACCTTTAGGGCATAAAGTATTCCATAACTAACTTGTTTTGAGTCTACACTAATTGTGGGGGTCTGGTCTGTTTAAGGGAGGGACCTCTGGCAAGGCCATATGGAAACATAAAACACAGCTGCCCAGGAGCCATCAAGAGGACTGCTTGGAACTGCCAGTTGGTTGACTGCAAAGAGCCAACTAGTTTAGTTTCCTTGGAGATCTGGAAGGGCTTTGTGGCTTCCTGGTGTAGAAATCCATGCCTCCATAAGCCTAGACTTTCCCTAGAGTAGTTTTGAAAAATGTTCTCAGAAGTGGGAAAAAAAGAGTCTCATCATTCAGGGCCTCTTTCAAGCTTAGGCTGAAGAAATTCACTACGGATGCTATTCCTTGAATGGATCCTCTGGGATTTCTGTGAGCCCAGCTTCCCCACCCAAAGCCCATTTGCAGCCTATAAAAATGGTGCAGTGCCTCAAACTCTAAGCCAATAGAACTCCAGGGGAAAAATATTGAGAAATGGGACAACTTAATTTTTCA